AATCATACATTTCCATTTGATATCACATAGCCCTATGTTTTCGAAAGGTATTTCCATTCTGGCTGAATTGTACTGCAGTTTTGATCTCGCCTCTACTTGTCTCATCAGCACACCCATCAAAACTCAAACCATGATAATGCAGAGCGTAATCTCGACACGTTAAGCGGTACGGCAAAATGCCACGAGTTACCTTGAGTACCAGGGCAGTTGTGAATTCCTAGAAAAGCCAGGCATCCTATCGGTTCGCATTCTGTGGTAGGATTGTCGATTACATAAAGTAATATTTGCTATAACAATCGACGGCATTACTTATATTTCGTTTTATAAGTCGGTTTAGCGGTGAATGCGTTATAGTCCGGCTGGTGTTAAGTGAAATCGAGGTGAAACCCTCGCCTGAATGAGAATAACTTTTGGGAAAACAAGTCTATCTGAGGTGCAATGGAAACCTATGGTATACTCATATGATTGGGGGAAACTTCAAGTACCAATTACTTTATCACCTTAAAAGGAATAGAGTGAATATACTTGATATAATTGTGTTTTCCATTGCACCCGAAGATGTTACTTATATTCTATATGAGTAGCATACTAAACTCTCAATAATCCTTGAGTTTGAATTTTGTTGCTGCTTAAGACTGATTTAAACTAAAATTTTGGGAGATATGGCTAAGTGGCCTAGACTGTCCAAGTTTTTATTCAAGACTTACCTTGCATTATTTCAAAAATAACTGGACATTATACTTGTTAAGAGACCGACCATCCTTTTTCTAAAGGTCATATTTGGTAGGAAGTTTGTGCTGACTAAGAGAGAATGGTCATCAAAAATAAATAGCATGCCTGAGGACTACTTTGGTGGAATTGTTGTCGAATTTGCTTATTGTGGGCTCATCTTAGCATCAAATGGAGAGGTCAAGAAAGGTTGACTTTACGAGGGTCACTTACATTTCATGGAGCCTAGGTTTTGTGTCAGCAAAAGCAGTTTTAAATGCAGGAGCCACTGCTAAACCTCGATTGGTATGTGCTTTTTACAAAAGTCTCCCTGCACTGTCATACAGCTAGAATAGGAATGAGGTGATGTGTTATAGTAACGGCGATTTTTGTCAGAAAGCTGCTTTATTCCTTTAAGCAGATTGAGAAGGCTTAAGAGATCCCCTATTTTGGCCATGTCGGTAGAGAGAGTTTCAATTCAATTGGACGGTTCTATTCTGTCTTGTAAGCAAGCATATTTCTCCAGACATTGGCGGAGTCGGCATTCATGAAGGCATGATGAAATTGCATTCAGAAAAATAACAACTCAAAACTAACTAACTAACTTAACCAATCGTGAATCTTCAGGAAAGAGCTGGCGAGGTGGTGCTGCTTCGTGAACGGGCATCCAGCGCAGAAGAACGCGCAGAGGCAAATCAACGCGAATTGGAGCGTCTTCGCGACCGGTTGGTGGAGTGCGAACGCGAAGCGGGCCGACTCTCGCGCAGCCTGTCAGCCGAGCGATTCGAGAAGGAGCGCGCGCTATCCGAACTACGCCTGAGCACATTGCCAGCAGCTTACCGACCGTCCGGATACACAACGGGGTAAATAATTTATAACATTATAAAATATTGCTTAAACTACCCCTAAAACATGTTCATACAAAAAAGACAAGATTTAGCGCAAATAGGATGATATGAGATTAGAATAGATTAGATTAGATTAGATTAGATTAGATTAGATTAGATTAGATTAGATTAGATTAG